TCAATAAACCATAACAAACCACTCTCCCGCTTTTTCACCACGTACGGACCTCCCGGTTTGTCGCTCGCTCTCGTGACCTCCCTGCTAGCGAGGAACTTGCCGTGAACGGCCCTTGCCCGTAATGACCACGTACGTGACCTGCTCCCCTGTGCGGTGACAAGTTGGTCCGTCATGTCACAGACATGGGAGATATGTATTGAAGATCTGGGAGATGTCTCTGATCGCCCCAATGGCTTCAATAAGGCTTTTTGTTTCACTTCTTCCAGGGGGTCGTTGCCTGGGAGGTCTCCGCCATGTCAATACAGACCCATATGCTTTCACTGATCAAGTAATTAAGTTTTCCAAGTCCTACACTCCTCTGCTACACCAGTGTTCATGCAAAAGGATTGGCGAACGACCTCATTTAGGAGTTTGATCCTACAAAAGCACTACTCAATCAAGCTAAAGGACCACTCTTTAACAGGGCAAAACAGGACCTGTACTAGGAGTTTTTCTTTAAACAGGCCAAATGAGTGTCCGACCATCTCGACCAGTTGCCTCCGCGGCTACGGAGTCGCTGGGCCACGGCAGTGGACAACCACCAGCGCAGAAGGAGCTGAGCGGATCCTGGGGGGCGGATCCCATCGGAGCTGTGCTTTTGTTTGTCTAGGCAGTGGGTGGGGTCGACTTTAAAATGCCAGAGAAGACGACCTGCCACGTTCGGAACAAGTCCAAAACCTGCTAGGGACATCACTCCCGCATTTTGAGAAGACACGTGAGAGAGAGACAGATCGCCGAGATCGGCTCCCCACCCGTCCAACCTTCCGAAAGGCCATGCAAGTCGATGACCTCCGGCCAGCGGAAGGAAGACGTGTGGCTTCCGAAGAGCGGCAAGGCCTGCAGAAAGAGGTGTCCGCCCAAACGGTTCTCCTGAAGCTCAGCACAGTCCTCGGATGCGACCCGCGATGCGACCCGCGGTGCGACCGCGGTCTGGGCTCCAAGGAGGCGAAGAAAAGATTTGCTGAACCTTTGGAGGCGAAAACAAGTGTTCTTTGGATGGTTTTGATGTGTTTTGATCCATCTTTTCACCACTAGTTTTTAGATGGTGTTATTATTAATGTGGTTTTGCGGTACAAAAAATGCTGCTGGGAGATATAGCTGCAGCTAAGCTTGGCATTGTCCATTTTGACAAAACCCAATCTGGAAGGGCAGCTGGTGGCCACTGCATTCAAGGTCTGAGCAGTCTAGGGGTTCATATGGTAGTCTTTTGACCAACCATTCAAGCATAGATTCAACATCACCAGCCATACATGATATTGCTCATTGTTCACCCCAAAGGAACTCCTGGCTCCTGGCTCTCTGGACATCGACACCGCATCGACCCCTCCTGTGACTTGCTTCTTGCGGTGTGCTGAGGTTCAAGAAGGGCGTTGTAGCAAACACGATCTGGCTCCAGATGCTCCTCAGGCATCTGCTCAAGGAACCGGAGCGCCTGCTTCCACTGCGTGCCATGCTTGCAAGCTGTAATGGCCTGGGTCGAACGCAGAGGTCTGGAGATGAAAACGCCGTGTTCCAAAGAAAAAACGAAGAAGCGACGCGCGCTGCGCAGCATAGCCCCGTGGAAGACCCGTGTCCGATGTGGAGAACCGATTGTCGCGATCGCGAGTCGCGAGGAGAAAGAAAACCGCCGGTCCTCCCAGCTGTGACAACGCTGGGAGGAATCGAATCCCCAAAAAGCACCGAGCTCTCTGTCTTCCAAGGTCGATTGGTGCCTCGAATCATGTGGAAAAAGCTGTGATTCAAATGACCATCAATCGACTGGTTTCAAGCGAAGCCAACCCACAAACAGGTTTTGGGACAGTTGCTCATGCTCCTTGCAGTGACAGAAAAGAAAAACAACTATATCAAAATTATCCATTCTTGAATATTTAATTAGATGGAAATCAGTGATGTCTCCCAGACACGACATGGCCGAAAAACGGCCTGGGGAGATTCCAACACCCCCAAGCATGTTAAGATGGAAGTTCCTCTTCCCAACGCGAGTTGCATGACATGGAAATGATCTTCCCCCGTCCTGGGGAGTTTCTCTGACCGTTTCGTCCGGGTCACAGCTGCGTAGCTGAAAACGTTCCTCTGAACGGGAGCTGCAAACGTTCCGTTGCCCATGGAGTTAAAGAGCCACAAGGCCTGAGTGGAGCGTAGGTTTAACATGTTTAAACAAAGAAATTGAAACAAACCAAAGCCATCTGATTTATATCAGGGATTGTCCGATATCCAAAAAAGCCTGGCATTTAAGTGTGGTGGTCCCTTATATAGCTTCCGAGACAGACTCCGATGGGTTTTGTCCGAAACCTCAGGAAGTCGCACCATGACTAAACACAGGACTAAACACATGACAGACTAGTACTCCCTGAGTTGAATGCATCGAAGCGAGTTCACGAGTTCGGTGCGAAACTCATGGGAAAACCCAAAACCCAGCGAGGTCATGCCATCCACGTGTGGCCCATGATGATCTTAGGGTGTGTCATGTGATGCTTCCTTTGGAACAACTACCCTAAAAGCGGACTGCCAGGCCTGGCTGGCCAGGGGCGAAAACCGGCGGTCTTGGACCAGCTTCGGATGGTTGTGGCGAGATGCGACTCTTCCATACTCTTCCCATGTTTTTCAACGAGAATTGGAGACATCCCATCACATGGGAGTTGGAGTCATTCCCACTTTGAGAGTTGGAGATGTGTTGGAGTCATGTCCTCTTTCAAAGGAAGGCCGAACCCAACTCTATCCCTGGCCTGCTGCCATTCGTTGGCCTTCTCGCAGGAACTGATGGCTGCACCTCAGCTCTGGGCTGATTGGAACTGCTTGCAGGCACCCAAAAGAAATATCTGCTCAGCTTCTTCCGCGCATATAACACATGATCAAGTGAGATCAAAGGGGTTTTCCCTCAGCAACACATTTCGATGCATGGAAGGGCCCACACATGTATACCAAGATATACCAAGCATCCACATATACCTCATCTGTAGATCAAGTGTTGGTCGAAATCTTGGATCGCGGGAAGTTTTGAATCTCCTACCAGGAACTCGTACTCCTCAAAACAAAAACCTGATAGATTCTTCGCCCAATGCTTGGAACAGGTCCATATGGCCACCTGCATTTGAAGCACGGCAACAGTCTCAGGATCTTTGTGAATATATTAATGGTGTTCGGACCATTGTCAATGCTATACACATGTTTTGCAAAGGACATGTGATGTTTTGCAAAGGCTTTCCCCTCATCGTCACATGTGCCAAACCCACCGGTCTCAGGCACTGTAGCTGATAACATTGGGCAGCACCAATGCCCGTGTCATGACATCGAGCGTGAAGAAAGCATGCTGCCATGCGCCAGCCTTCTCGCAGGAGGTGATGGCCGCACTGTAGCCAACAACATCCGGGGAAATCCTGGAGTTAAGCATGTCATTGATAAACTTCACGGCCAACTGCCACTGGATGCCTTTCTTGCAACACGTGATTGCCACGGTATAACTAACAAGATCTGGCTGCACCTCGGATCGAGGCATGGCCTCAAAAAGGCTCAAAGCCAGCTGCCATTCCGTGGCCTCCTCGCAAGTGCGTATCACTGAAGTATAGCTGATCACATCGGGCAAAAGCTCCAGCTTTGGCATCATGGCAAAGTAACTCATGGCCTTCTGCCACTGCCCACCCAGCTTGACTAATGCATTGAGAGCTGTATTGAGGCTCACCCGATCGGGCTGAACTTCGACTCTCGGCATGGCCTCACAAAGGCTCAGGGCCTCCCACCAGTGGGACGCAGTCTGCAAGGAGCTCATGGTCGCGTTGAAGCTGAAGACATCCTGAGGCATTGGCAGTTCATCGACCGAACCAATCGAATCCCGACCTAGATGTCCGGACCCACCCTCGTGTTGCAAGGATGTCGTTCTTAAGGAAAAAAGGAAAAACATCGACAAACATGTGCCTCGAGCAATGCTATGCGTCTGGTTGAAGTTGCGCTTTGGGCATCTCCTGAAAGATGTGGGAGACAAGCTGCCATTGTCTACCCTTGCTACAGGAAATCATGGCAGTGTCAGAGGTGGTGACATTCGGCTGAACCTGTGCTTTAGGCATGACCGCGAAAAGCCAGCAGGCATGTTGCCACAACTTGCCCCTCGAACAGGTCGAGATTCCAATGGTGTATTTCCTGCAGCTGAGCCATCGGGCTTTTTGCCCCGAGTGCTCGACAGTTGCTTAGACAGTTCGTATACTGCTAATTCACAACTCCAAAGAAATGTCGGTTTGGGGTGACTCATGTGGCTCAACATGAGCCGAAACAAAAAACACGTTCAAAACCATCAAAAGCCTGCGGGTCTGTGGGTCACTCTGCAAAACCAAGCATCTGATTATCCAATTCTGCAGCCTGATGTCGCAGCTCCTCTAGCAAATGAAAGATGGACTTGGCATCTTTCTTCTCTGACAGCGATTTGAAAAGCAGTGGCAAGTTCTCCACCGTGCTCGTCTTCCGTCGGCTCCACCGATGCGCAGTAGTGAGGCGTCTCGCCGCTTGCTCCGCGGACCGCCGCATGGCTCAGAGCGCGGCTCGGACATCGACGTCGCCCCAAATGCTGGGCAACTCATTCGACGGAGCTCAACCGGTGACGTCGAAGGAGTTAGAGCAAACTCCTTTGGAATCGGGTTTCCCAAACGAACGAAGCGCCTCAAATGAGACCAAGATACTTAATCCCAAGAGACTCCATCACGCAATCCTGGATCCAACTATTCTTCCCACAAGTCCAGACTTGTGGTCGGTACACCCATTTGCATCCCCCTGTCGCGCATTGACAGGATCCTCAACAAACCTCTGGCGTCCTGCTGAAAGGAAGACAATCCCAAAATCCCACTCAACATCTCGAGAAAACCCGGCCAAAACCAGTCCTTTGAGGCCTTCACCGGCTGTTCCACCTGGAGGAAACATGGTTGGTCTTCCATCCGAATCCGCTCCGCGGCTCCGCTGCGTCCTCCCTCCGCGTCCTCCAAGCGATCCGCATCTCGTGCGGGCCGCGGCCGCGGGTCGTCGTTGCCGTTGCCGCGGCGGTCGCTGCGGATCTCCCGCAGCATCCAGGGAGGTGCCGGGGCCTCACAGATGGTTCGCTACTAGCAGCGAACGAAGCTATTAGGTTGGAGGCCATCGCTAGTAAGTTGGAGGACATTGCTAGTAACAAGAAGCTACTAGTAGCAAGAAGTATGTTGGAGAGGTGCAGACTGGGAAAAAGAATCAGGAGAGTTCCATGGAACTCACCCGAATGCAGGTTTATCCTGGCATATGTCCTGACTATCCAAGGGACTGGAAGAGTTACTTACATTGACCCCATGTAAATGACCCTAAGGTAGGCACCTACTCCATACCCAAACACTCCATGTATGGAACAGTTGCAGACATTAACCCCATGAAAATAGAATAAAATAACTCATCCATATAGATACTATTTGAATCTAATCATCTAATCTATTTATATTAGATCATATTAACATCATTAACTATTCCAGTCGTGTCGTGTCGTGTCTGGGAGCCCCCAGGGGGCTCCAGTGCCGAAAGAAGGATTCTCCGCCAGCCGCCCACCGCCATGCCGCCTGGGCGAGCTCCTTGAGCCTGGCGTGACCGCTTCCAGGACGACCGGCGCAGCGAGGCCGGCCGATCGACCCCGACCCGAACGGCGAACCGGACGAACCGGACGCGTGACACGGGCGGATGTGACGCATGGTTTAGACCATGTGATACCATGCGGATGTGTTCACTGCAAGGTGAGGAGGTTTGGCCGCAAGCGCTCCTTCGCATTTGGATTGCAAGAACCATCAAGTTTTGAGCAACTTACTATGGGCTTTAGACCACAAAAGACCAGTTGAACCTTTCCTTCAGCGGTCTCGGAAGGTAAAGGCCCACAGGTTGACCGAAAGCGCTTCCTTTCCGAAAACCCGGGCGCCTCGGGAAGCAGCACCGCGCGTAGCGCGCGAACTCGCCGCTGCTCCAACAGAGCCTCGGTCGGCGAGTCCAGGCACCCGTGGTTTCGCATGGCGTTTTCCCCCAAGGATGTCCTGAAAAGATCGGATTCGGGGATTGGTGTGCCATCTACAGCAATTACTCTGAAACCACTGCAAATGGAGCTGTGCCACTGTGAGCTTTGGGTCTTTCAACAGGGGGACCCTGGAACTGTGCCCACTGAAAATGTACAGAATAGACTACCAAACATGGTCAACCTACCAGGAAGTCCACGGACACTCGGGTTCGTTTTTCTCCCGAATGGTCTTCACCGAAGCAAAGTTCTGGATGTTTTGTCGCCTGTTCTGGATGTGGGATGTTTTGAAGCTACCTTTACAGGCGACAAAAACAACTGCTGTTCATCTCTGCTCAAACACATTGAACGCAACTCCTTACAAATCAGTACAACCCGTCCAATTTTAGGCTGGTTGAACAGGATAAGGCTTGCAAGAACTTGTCTGTGTTTGGCTGTCGTTGTTGAAAACACATCGCCTTCCCCATGTTCGCAGAGCCGAGGAGCCCGTTGTCATTGGCGCCAGTGCCTGGCTTCCGTTCACCCTAATGTTGCAAGGAACCAAACAGAAAGGTACCTGGAGCCCGAAGAGGGCTTGGATAGACATGGCACTTTCAAAACACCCTGCATCCATGTCTGTGAAGGGATAGAGCAAACGAAACCATAGGCAGGTGGGCAACAAGTGTCAGCCTCTCTACTGTGAAAAAACAACCCGAGTATCTTATCACACGGAGATGCCCACTTCTGCTAAATAAAGAAGTGGAAAAAAGGTAAATGATATGCCATTATACCACCGGACCATCCCCGGTTTTGGGAGGCATGTTCCGCAAAAAATAATTCAGGTCTCTGGTTCCAGCAGTTTGATGGTTCTCTGTATCCATCTCCATAATATGCATTGCTGTGTGTGTGCGGCACATGCAGCGCCGCGTTCTTCTCAGCAGTTATCCCCCCACCTGTGCCATCACCAGACCAGCCCAAACAGCAGAGATTCCGCACGAGCTCATCCTTGAGTCATGGACCAATCCCGGTGGATCGATCAAAGGCGGAAAGTGATCAGCCGATGAACATGTCCACTGGGAACCATCAAGCAGAGAACCCCTGGATATTCTCCACCAAAAACGTTCATGCACCTGGCCACGCGTTCATGTCCATGCTGCCTTTCTCGGGTGTGGAACTCTTCACTCTTCTCTGGTCGAAGGACGAGGTTCCGCCCCTGGTCCAACGGGAGATCAAACACCCGTCGAAGGTCCAAAGGGGAGAGAGTCCAAACGGGCGCCAATTGAACGCATGTGGCCGAAGAAAGAGAGCCTGTCCTTAAGTGGTGCCTGGTGGTTTCTGACAATCAGGCAGGGTAAATGAGCCACTCCCCAAAGCCTACAAACCACCTTGTTTTGAATGTGCCAAACAACCGGCCTTTGTGCAAAAATATCTGAAACAAACCAAAAATTGTCACAGTGGCACGATGGCACGATTGTGGAATAAACCGAACATCCGCTTAATGGAAGTGAATCAACACGAGGACACTCACCTTCACAAAACCTAGAACGGTGTAACGGTTACTCAACAAACCCCAAGATGTGTTTGCTCTTAAGCCTGGATCAAACAGGAGTTGTGGCAACAAACAGCGAGTCAAACGTCTCAGTTGCTTCTGCAGTCCAAAACGCCGAGTCGCCGTCTCACTTTCGAGCACCCGTCGCATCTTCTGCTGACCTGAGCCGGGAGTGGTCAACAAAGTGGACAAGATCTGCAGAGCACCCCACAGGTAATGGGACGAAACCAAATAGCTAGCGCTCAGGTGAGCATGTTGGGGTTCATTCTTTTGCAAAAAGCCTTGGTGCTTTGAACCAATGAACCAACACCGACAACGGAGCGACATCTGGACTCCGACCAGTCTTCCTCAGATCAATCCAGTGGAGGAAAGAGTGAAGAACCAACGAAAAAGCGCAGAACCTACAAAGATCCTGAAACAGCCTGAGTGCAGAATTGGAACAGAGTGCAACACCATCACTGTGCAACGCTGTTGAACGAGTGGCTAACTCTGATATCACCTGATCAAAATTGGCGTCTTCGTTGGACAACCTATGACTCCAAGGTGCACACACACACAGAGGCGGTTCATGGGTTCATGTGTGTCACTCCAACTCTGTCTTCCTCTTAGTTCACATCCCCCAAGTCTTTAAGCAACTGGGCGTCCCTGGCGCTGGTCAATCTCCGAACTCTGCGCCTGGTGAAGATGTGAGGGACTGGGTACCTGATCAATCTCCGTCTCGGGGCCCTTGATGAAGTGGATGAAGCAGGTGTTGATCCACAAAACGTGGGAGGGATGCCTCATTTTCATCGACCTCATTGAAACGTTTAAAAAGTTGAGGGATGAGTGCCTCGGGGTAGTTGCACATCTCACATACTAAAATGTCATTGGTGTTCTGTGGGGCATGGTACGTCATCCTAAGAAGAAAAAGGAGCAAAGGAGCAAAGGCACCCCTGGTGAAATGGAAGACATGACTAAAACTAAGTTCTTTTCTCCGGTAATGAGCCGGTGGCCAGGCGGTGTCTTTGTGCCAAGCTGGCCATTGCGAGCAAACTGGCAATGCACGCGATCTTCGCGGCAATTACATGGGCACAACAGCAAGTTTTGTAGCTCGTTAGCTCCTATGACTTTCGGCAATTTTATGGCAAAACGCTTTGAAAAGTCCAATTCCAGATACTCCTTGGACTCCTTGGAAAAGAAACGGATACCCCAAAGTGCTGGTTTGTGGTTTGGAGAGACAGTGCAGTCGTACAGCGTCCATGATGCTTCGGTTCTCGGCATTCAGGGGAACCAGGCAGGGCCTGGTCGGGGTGGTCAGGCAGGGCATGGTCTGTTCTTTGTGCTGCCTGCACTTAACAAGCATGTATCTCTAAACTACCCAAGGGTGCGTTCGGAACACTGTCGCTTGAACTGGCAATTGGAGCCCACGCAGGGTCCTCTCCCCATCTTGGATGGAGAGGGAGCAGAATTACAATCTCCAATCTCTGTAGCACAATTCAAGCAGAAGTGAAAAAGCACAGGGCATCTACGGCTTTGAATGATCCACAGCTGTCACGCCCGTACATAATCAATAAACCCCAAGCGTAACTGGCAGGCGCCGATGGGAAAAGAACACTTGGCGATCTCTTGGTTTCAACCAGAACTCTTCGTCTGCCATCACCCAACTCATCGAACGCGTGCTGAGATCGGAGTCAGCTGCGGTCGGTCCGACCGCGGCCCTCGTCGTGCGAGAACGGCCCAGGAGCTGGGATCATAACCCGGAAGGATGGTCGTGTGCGATGCTGCCGGGGGGGTTGGGAATGGTGGGGTCTGTCCCTACTTTCTGACGATGTGGTTGCAGCCGGAAGATGATGTTCATCAGGGTTCTAAGGGCGGTGATAGCCGGATAGCCCCTTCTCTCGCGGCTTGGAGGCGCCATCGTTTGCATCCGTTGGACGACCCCCACTCCCAAAGGTTCTTGCTGGTTCTTAGGTCGAACAAGAAAGCGAATGGTGGCATGACGCCTTGGATGCCATCACACCTGAGTCACCTGAGGCATGAACTTTGATTCATCAGCTCCGTCTCCCCCCAAAACCTGCTTGGAGGATGTCTCCTCTCCCTGGCTCGAAGCCCCGCGTGTTTTGGAGGACCACTGTCCGTCTTCCGGGCGCGATCCCGCGCGAAGCCCCGCGAAGCGTCACTCGCTACCTGAGCAGCGTGCCAGGTCCAGGCCGAGCAGGTCGGGTAGCATCCTTTTTCCTAGTAGTAAGACCAGGAGCCCCGTTCGTAGCGTCCTTGTTGCCATAGTAGTAAGACCAAGAGCCCCGTTCGTAGCGTCCTTGTTCCTAGTAGTAAGACCAGGAGCCCCTAGTAGCTTCTTGTTGCTACAAGTAGTATAGGTATAGTATGCCAGTGCCGATGGTAATGTTTGGGACACAGCTCCTACAAAACTAAGCGCCCCAACATGTGGAACCATGTCCCCCTCTTGGTGCTATATAGACTGCTAGAAAAGGGTCCTTGTTTTGCTGCAAACAGGCCTGCCTCTCAAGCTGGCTACCCGTTAAAGATTCAGGGTGTCCACTTCATTGTTGCCCTCTACACTGTGTCAACCACTGAAAGAGGTAGAGTATAAGATAGATGATAGAAGAACAAAAGTCAGCAAGATTTGGTTACAGCGAGGGTTACAGTAAGATCTGCAAGAAGCAGGCCCGTTCACCTTGGCCAAAGCGGCCAACACGGTTCGGGCATAACAAATCCGAACAGGATAAGTCAAACGAAGGTCGCCAACGAAGCGCATCTTCGGAGCTCGAGCAGCCTCTCCATTAGGTGCAGTCAGTTCACCTTCTAGCGGTGGCATGATGGATCCATGACACTGATGCCCCTCACAAAGTATCAGATCAAGCATGATATAATCTAAAGGACTTCTGGGACACTCGTCCGCCCTGTCTGGGTGAGTCTTGGAGTGAGTCTTCTGACCCGGTTCCGGACCTACACGAGTCTCGAGGATGTTGGACCGGGAGACCGTGCCCGGTCGAAGACGTTGAAGACGGAGACCGGCGTTTGTGTTCGCTTTTTGGATCGGATGGGGGGGGTTCGTTCTTCTATAGATATAGATCTATAATAGGGTGTGGCGCTCCAATCTCGGCTTCCAACACAACCATTTGCACCTCTAAAACTGTGAAGATCCTACCCTTCTCCGGATTGTTGCTTCTCGTCACCCTCGGTCAACAGCCACTCGCTGACACCTCTGCCGAGCTGCCCATTACCTCGCCCGTCCCGCTCCTGGCCGCGTCGGCGACGCGGTGGCGGGTGGCACGGTCGGCGAAACGTGTGAAACGCTGTGGATGAGAAGCCCTAACAGGACGAAGATATACAGTATGTCATGCTGACAAGGTCCTCATTCAAAATATCCCACGAAGTTAACTATAACCATAAATTATGTATAGTCATTTGTATGGTCATTCTATGTCGCTGTCATTGTCATACCCTTGAAATGCTGCAAATGTGATCTGCGCAAAGCTAACATTGGTTCACCTCCATTGGATGTTTTTCCGCGGCAGTGACCAAGTAAAAATGAACCTTCTGTTGAAGACCCTAAAAAAGACACGAATCCATCTATAATCGGGTAAACGCTAGAGACTTGGTGGAACCTTCTCTTTTGGGGTCAAAGACCTGCTACCGCGGCGACAGATCGCTCGTCGAATAAAGCAGCTGATTCCGTCGATCGTTCCACGTCGTTCTTCCGCTCCGCCGTCCGAATTCCATGTGAAAGGCCATCTGGGTCTGGGTGGTCCAAACATGGAAGAGTGCGTCAACTGAAGAGTTCATGTGGGTCCAACACATGTCCAAAACACGGTCCAAACGACCAGAAGCTGCTGTGAGTGTTTCTCCCCCGTTACCGCCAGCTGTGACCACTCCCGACCACTCCGCACAAGAAGCTGAAGCAACACAAGTCGTGGGACCGGAAAGCCCTGAGATGTAGAGGTTCATTTGAATTAGTTGTGAAAAAAAATGCGAATTCGGATTGTAATGGCGCTCTTCTATATGGAGGTGCTTGAAACTCATCTAATAAGTAATCAAGAGTTCACATTGAACCCCAGCGACAGCCCGAGCGACAGCTCCACGTCTACCAGATCCACGTCGCCGGGATGCCACGTCGGGTGAGTCGAAGCCCCGGCCTTCTCCGACCTGTCGACCGTCGGACAGAAGGAGGAACACCTGGTCATCTAACCTGGTCATCTATCAGAAGCCTGGCCATCTCCCTGTATCAAACAGTTCTTTTGCTTCCTTTGGAGCAGGGAGAAGTCTTTTTTTGGACATCAGAAACAAGAGCCGAAGCAACTCGGCCTTGCAGGCTGTACCTTGCTCCATCGTTGTACCTTTCCCCCCTCAGCTCCAGGCGTCACTTTCGGGCGGCCGCAGCAGCGTTCCCGCCTTGGAAGCGAGGAAGCGAAGAAATCTTGGAAGTTGAAGGTGCTTTTTCGCAGTCATGTAGACTCTTGATCAATAAACCTCCCTTTGAAGACGATGTTCAAATTCAAATGGGTGTATGAATCAAGAGTCTACATTAATACAAAGACCCGGCTTTGCGGTCCTTGCTTCACGGTCTTGATGGTCCTTGCTTGGATGAATTGGTTCCACCTGTTTGGTGGTATCTACTACAAAAAATAGACCGTCCCTCCGTTTCTGTTTCGCATCTGGGTGCCATCATGCCCCTCGATGCGCCGAAAGCCTCGATTCATTGAATGGGTTTTGAGATGTGTTGAGTCTTGTGGACCACCATGGGACATTCCCATCCCTGGTGGTCCCTGGACCGCTGTGTTTTTGGACCACCGGGGATGTTGAGTCTTGAACAATCGAGTAAAAGACACCTGCAGCCTGCAAGATTCCCAGACCATCCACCGGACTGAAAGAGAGACTTGCCACCAAAAATGGGTCTTAAATGAATTGGGGTAATGGATGATCCATGTCTGCGACTCTTCCAGTCCCATGGATGATCTGGGATTGGATCAGTGGATCGATCCTCCTATCCGCTATGGAAAAACGCATGTTGAGTTGGTTCCACCACACCAAACAAGCTGGTGAATGCCCTTCCTGTTCTTGTCGGGCACTCTTGTCCCCAACTTCCAAAAGTGGTGTGGCCCCACTGTGTGTCATCCATGAAATTGAGCATGGACTCTTCTGGGACTTCTGGTGAATGTCTCTCGGAGGTCCAAAAAAGCAAATTGAAGTCTTCACCAGGTGAAGCAGAGAAGTGTCCTACCAGGTGAAGGAGCAGGCAAAAGACCTCACAGTTGGTGGATTTCTTGGGTCCTATCGGGTCCGGCAGGACGCCCAAACGCCTCGCCGAAAACAGAGACCCGCCATGGTCACCGTGGCCCCGCACCAGGTGCGGTTGCTGGGGCCACAAATGATGAGCGAAGCCGGTAAGACCTCGACGCGACGGAGAGGAGATTCAGCTGAGAGGAGGTTTCGTCTGACATGGTCTGGCAATCACTTGAGACAAACTGGTGCTTATAGTAGGGAGTGAGGGAATGAACCATCCATTCCTTCATTAGCTACTAAGCACCAGTCAGGAAACAAGACTTATCTTGTTAATTGTCTCATAGATTCCAGGTGGTGGAAATCCCTTTGGTGTGATGGTGACTTGGGGACTACCCCATGTCCAAAAGCCTCGTCGTGAGCTTCCCATGTCGATCGAGACTGGGGCGGTTCCCAGAAGCCATTCCCAGATGAGCCGTGTTTTTTTAAAAGGTAAAGTGCTTATACACTGCTGGGTTGCCTACGCTGGAGGTTTCGCATGGTCAGAATTTGTGGGAAGGGTGGCTTCGCGAAGCTTCGCGCAACACCAGAGGCTTCGCGAAATGCTTTCGCGGTTCCAACACGCCAGATTCAACCTTTCATAGACTCTAAGTTTGCCTTCGCGAGTTGGCTTCGCCTGTGTGAAATCCAACAGCCTACGCCAAAGGCTTCGCGAGCCTTCGCTACCATACAACAAATTCACTACAAAGTTTTGAGGTAGAGCGCTGGTGAACGCCTAGATCCCAGAAAAAAACAACCACAACAACCACAACCGGGATGAACTTCCCCACATGTTCGGTGGGCAAATCGGAGGATTGACTTATACAATCTCTTCGCCATAGGGATGACTTCCTAACAAGCTTGTGCTTGCCTATACTAACACAGATATTAAGCTGACGATGTCTTTTCCAGTTGAGTTCAGATACTCGCTGGGCTCACACTCGATGATCTTCCTAGCTTCTCACGAGAGCTGTGGTGATCGTGAGCTGTGGTGATTTGGTGAATGCAAACACTTCGTGTCCCTGACAATCCCCTTTTTGCTGTTAAAGCTCAGGCGCGGTCCTCAGAAAACCCGCACCACCCGCACCACCCAGCGCATCCCGCGCTGGGAACCCCCGGCCACCAACGAGGCGAGACAGGAGAGCACCGAAACCACCAGCACCACCTGATTCGATGCGGTGTGTGGACACGCGAAACTCGCGGAGGTTGTTTGGCTAAGTATACATGCGGGTATTGGAGTATTGTGAGTAGAATTAGATAGATAGAACATGGACGATCTAATTCTACCGGATTTGGGGGACACATCGTGTTGCGTCGGGGTTCGCACCGAACTCCGGCTTCGCCGAACGCTTTCGCATCGCCTTCGCCTTCGCCTTCGCGCCTTCGGTCGGACCCGCGTCCTGAGTGCCCAACCAGACCCAGCTTGGTGAAGATTTGCATGGTGGCTAAAAGCAGGAACGCACTGGCGCCTCGGATAAAGAAGCATCGGCCGTCGGACGGCTGGGGAGTTCGGCAAGCGACCGTGCACAACATCCAACGGGTATAAAGAAGGGATATCCGTTTTCCACTTCTTCCACGTCATCCGCCTTTTTCAAAAAACAGACAAAGCAACTGTGAATGCGAAGGGAATTCCGGGGCCATTTTCCATGATTGACCGGAAGATGGTGAATTTTCTTTGGCTCGACTCTCGTGGTGCGTGGCTTCCGCGAGCTGTGCTAAAGTAGCTGCTAAAGACGGAAAAAATAATAAACGAAAACAATCAAATGTGCAGAGGCAAAGGAAAGACATAGTTCGTAGGCGAGATGTTCTTGGGCTTTGTTCTCCACTAGCCTTGTCTTTGCCTCTTCCGGGACATGTGATGGCAAAAAAGAGGGACCAAGAGGCACCTAGAATATTTAAATGGAAGACTGTGTGAAGTACCACCCCCATAATTGTACGTTAGGCAGCACATGGCAGCACTATATAGTTAGCGTACAAACACCGGTCTCCACAAACGTCCTTCACGAAATGCGGCCTGCGGTGGAGAGCGTCGAGCTGAGCGTGGAGATGCCGATGCGCAGCACGGCCTTCCGTGCTCGGACCTGCAGGAGGGCGCCGCCGTTCACCGCCGTGCGCGGAACCGCGCTCCGAGAGGAGAACGGTGGAGGAGGCGTTCCGGTCGTGAGGCGATGGATCGCCCCAAAACGTGAAGAGGACGTTCCGGTCGTGGGTGTCTGCCATGGTTTTGGATGGCTTCGGATTGGGTTGGTGCCTTGGGATGGTTCGGTCTTTTTTGGGACCAGGGGTTCGCCAACTCGGGATTGCTGGCTTCGCTGGTCCTCCATGGAGCGAGTGACCAGCGTGGGACAACGAGTGACGGCCTTGCGGCTCGGTGCTAATATGGCCATGTGCTCAACCAGTGGCACCCCCAAGGACCTCTCTCACAGAAACGGTGTTGCCGAAACGGTGAAACGGCCCTTCCAAAATGGTCCTCCGCAGTATGTCCTCAGTGAGTCCTGCTGTTGGCTGAGAGCCCGGCCATTCGGCTTTCTTGAGCTGTTGCTTCGACCACCTTGAAACCGCCACGAAAAAGAAGGCCGAGTCTGTGGTCGACCGTGGTCCATCTGACCAAAAGAGAGAGAGAGAAGCACCAGCTACCAGCTACCGGGAATCTGAGAATCCCTATTTCATGGTGGTGTTTTACAGTGAAGACCATTCTGATCCAACTCACCTACACCAATGACGAGTTAATCTATACTTTTGTACCCAAAACTATCCAATCCTTGGATGCCATCATCAAACTGGAGGTGTTCGGAGTGACTACGGGCTTCATCTAAAATCCGTCATGTTTTTTCCCATTGCCTCGCCTCGGGATTGGACACCTGGCTGCGACTGAATGCGTCAAAGACTGGAGCACTTTCAAGTCGTTTCAGTCGAACATGGGATCTGCAAGTGCACAACTCCATACACCATGATGGTCTTTCACACGCCCTACTGTTAATGGGCCAATCCATCCGAAGGTACCCCCTTCAGTTTTCACAGATCGAGACTTCGGGCCAATGTCTTCGTTCCGGCAGAGTCATGGACCGGGGGGATGGACCGTTCGTTCCTTGTCCATGGAGAATCCTTCAGATGATCGAAGATGATCGAAGACTGGATTTGCAGAAAAGAAACCTCCGGTCCGGTCCGATGGTCAGGTCGGAAAATGGACCTTTCGTCGACTTGACGATAGCTATCGATTCCTCCACATCGTCAAGGGGATTCGTTTGTATATACCCCTGGGAGTCAAAGACTACAAAAAGAATAGTCTGACTAGGGGACCTGAGTTTGGGAACTTCCTTTACTTCAGCCGGTCAACATATCGTCGAACTGGACTTCAGCCGGGTATATCTTAAGATCAGGTTTGACTATCATTTCTTAGATTCGTTTGTATATATCTTAGATAGTCAACTCTATCTTAAGATCAGGTTTGACTGTCTAAGAAATGATCTGACCCCTCGCTTCCTTGGCGCACTCACCCCCACCTCCAAGGCCGGCGGAGTGCTGGGAGGTGCCTCAGTAAGCCCAGAGACGACAGCGACGACGGGCGAAGAAACGAAGACGGACCCGCGTGGATTGAAGGTTGGAAGCTACGAGGTCATCCAAAACATTACACGCATGTCTAGTAGGGGATCAACTCATTTGGAGGTTAAATCACTGATCATACTGATGAGTAGAACAAGAGAGAGGCTTCACATACCATAATACGCAACGTAACCATTGGACAGCATCTTGTGTTGCCCCCTTTTGCCCCCTTTGTTTGCCAGGTCAGCCAAAACACAGCTAGTTCTTAGCCATTGAATGCCATGGATGCATCTGAACCAAAGTCACGTTTGGAGATGTCGTACATCGCTTCGGGGCCTGTTTTGACTCGTTCGTTCGCATCTCCTATTGGGAAAAGGGAAGGTGAACTTACAGACTCCATGGGAGAGATTCTCCAAATGTCTTCTTATTTGATCCCTCAAAGGCCCTTTTTGGTCGGCCAGTTTCACTAGTGACACGAAAGCGACAGCGACAAGTGTCACCACTCCCCGTGCCCCGCAGGGCCCTCCCATTCTCGTGCGGCCGTCCCTCTCCCGTGCGCGCAAACTCGGCCTTGCGGTCCTCGGACCTCGAGGCAACGGTACGTCTTCTTCTTCTACGCTACGTGGAAGAGAAAAGAAAGCGAGCGTCCTCAATGAAAAGCTCTGTATGCCAGGTGAAAAAGCGGGAGAGAAAAGCTGGTTCCAGAAAAGCAAATCAAACCTGCCTCTCAGGCTTCCTATCTGTACCCTATTTAAAAAGATTAAACAAAAAAAGTAAACGTCCAGCTGTCTACTGCTTCTTCTAGCACGTTGGAGCTCCATACCCAAAAACAACTCCCATCCCTGGGCTTCATGCTGCACCACAGCTTCGCACAACCGATCCTTAGCAGCGTAGCTGCCCGCTTCGGGCCCGATGGTTACGCCCGCACCAGCAAGAGCGGGTCTCCGTCTCAGATATACAGGTATTCGTCGGAAGAACCGACCAAGAAACCATCAACCAAACGAATCCCAGGGTGTTTAGTGCTTATCCGACGAACCTCGATGCGTCGAGGTCGTTCTCGCCATGAACAACAAGAACTCGAGCTTGGGTGAGGCTGAAATAAGCCCACCTCTCTGGAAATATCCTGGAATAGATACGTTTCAACAAACTCTGAAGTGGTTGCATTGCAACCTCTAGCCTAGCAGCCTCTAGAAAGTGTTTTCGTTTTTCAATTATACAATAGTTACTGCACCTCTCCACCTTTTGAGTGATACTGTTACTCCATAGCAGATGAACAACATTGGAAAAACTCCGCTTCTGGCGATGCCTTGGGGGCAAGCCGCCCGCCACCTTCCTGCCGCACCACGAACCGCACGCGTCGACCAACGCCGGCCTCTGCCGGCTCCTAGCCGCGGGGCGTGGTTGAGTGGGTGGTTCCATGTGAGTGGGCGGTTTCAGGGTCCCACACCACTGAAGAAGACGTATACATGGCCCATAAGCAATACCCTCAAAATGGCTCCGGGGTATGTCACTCTGTGGCTGATCAGAAATGGCATCTTCACATATGTTGCATATGCTGGGATAGTAACAGTGCTCAGTGGGGCCTGTTGCGGGGCCTGTTCCAAGTCTTTCATATTATTTGAGGGGTAGTAAGCATGCGGTAGTAGTTGGATTAGTTCGATGCTCAGTAGTTCCGATCGGTAGCTCCGACAAAAGCGCAGTCACCGGGACCACAGCAGTTTTTGCTCATCGAATCCACAGCGTCTGCTCCCCGAAACGCCCCTCCACCCCCCACGGCCAATCACCACAGGGTTCTCCTGATCATCCACCTCCGCGCGTGCGCGCCCGCGCCCCGTCGTCTTCGTTCGGCGTTTGATGGTTCACAGGCGTGGTGAGGTGATCGCAAGAGAAGGATCAAGGACCGGAGACGCGGAATGATGTAGGCGACATGAATCAAAGCTGGACCGACCAAAGGCAGCCTGTTTCCCTCATACGGCCTGAAGGTGATGTTTAGGAATGGACATGAACCAAGAGTTCATTAACCCTCATTTAAACCCAATAGTGCAAGCCTCAATCCTGGACTGCAGGCATGAGACTTTGGGCGGTTCAGATTGAGACCGGCTCGAATGCAGGGCCAGTCGTCTTAGAGAAGTCTGTCGTAAACGAAGCCCCCCGGCTTGTTGTGTCATAAGGGTCCACACCCGGTGCGCTCATCTGTGGCCACTGAAGGGCTGGAAGGGGTTCGTGGGACCCGCTGGGAGATACGTGGGGGTCCGTGTGGGACCCGCGGGGTCCATGCGTCATGGCCACTAGACCAGACTGGCCAATCTGCTCGCACAGAGGCTTCAGCAAATCTGCTCGCACACGCGAGCACCAGGTTTCTGAGGTTTCTGAACGCTCCAATTGATTTATATGCACTTTACCTTTACTATATAGGTCCGTTTGTCTTCTGCCCCCCTGACTGCCAACCCCCTCCGACGCACGTTCGAACGAATGATGCGTGGTACGCAGTGGAAGAAGACATGAAGCTCTGAAACATGGGTAGCTGCGAGTCTGCGGGTCACCGCCGGTCTTCAATACCTGGGTGGTGGGTCTCCTCCGACCATGATGAGAAACTTCGACCATGTCAGAGAGACTCTGATGGTCTACCGACCATGGGGGATGCTCCTACCATGGTCATGGGATGCTCCAGCTTCCAATGACCATTGTTTTAGACAGGGAGCTAGTCCTTTTCAGCTCCCAAGTGCACCCCTTTTCCGAAGCCACGACCTCCAGCGACAAACGACCGCGGTTGGTCTACGACGAGGACGAGACGGCCCAAAGAGAGCCGCGCAGCGCTTTAGGGTGGTGAAGCCCAGCCTCTCCATAGATGTGTGCGACATGGAGCCTCAGGTGACTGTCGAGTTCACTGGGTAGGAACGGCCTCTCATGTTTGATCCAAACCAGTACAAGACAATGGTCCTTATTGGCTGGAAAAACACCCCTTGTTAAGCAAGTGCAAGCAAATGCATTGCAATGTTGAGTGCTACTTCACCCCCTCTTAGGTTCATGCCTGTACAACAGCCTCATTTGATTTGGTCACCTATGGTTCACAGGGTTTCTCTCACAACGGCCCAAATGCTGGCCTTTCTTCTTGGGCAGTTGCTTGGCCGAAGACCTCCAAACGGCTCTATCAAAGAGTGGATCCCATCCACAGAAGGCATTGGAAACCCTTTTGATCTAATGGAGATCTGTTTTTGCTGTAATTCCTTTGCTCGCGAAGGTCCTGGGGTAATTGCATGTTTGCGAACCCCAAAAAACGGTCATTCAGCTGTGTTAGAAGGCTCTAGAAAATCGAACTAAATGCAGAAGGGACATCTGGATGTTTTCCAGCCCTTTCAGTAAACCCAGGTCCATGAACGACGGCAGCCATCCTTCCAAACAAAAACCTCCAGCTGGACTTGCTGTCCATGAACGACCGTCGTCTCCTCACGACCGTCGTCTCCCCACGACCCAAACCGACCCACGAACCGCCCACGGTCGTGACGTGGAGGAGAGTCCAAGAGGCGAATAGGTGACGGAATAGCCCACGAAGACCACCAGGGAGATCACCTGGAACCCCCCCCGGGGAGATCACCTTCTCCCATTGCCGCGACCAGCCGCGAGTGCCGCCCAGGCCGCGAGTGACGGGAGAACGGACGGGACGGGACGGTGAACGGAGTGAAGACTCCGGGTGGCGACGTGTCTTTTCTCGTCGAATGTACGGACTGGCATATCACCCAAACACATGGATATGAGGCTATGAGTGGTGAGGATCTGTGAAGACCACAAGTCTTCAAGTCGTGTCAAATCCCTGGCTTGAAAGAATTGCCTTTTATCGGAATATCGGACTTTTGAGCTGGATGCTGTAAGTGCAGAACATGTAGCTACCCATTCTTTCAACGCAAAAAACGGAAAAACTCTGGGAAATTGACCATCAAGAGCACGAACAATGATGCAATGTATACCAGCGATTGGGTGGCGCAACCGCCACCGCCACACTCCGCAAAACCCGCCTTTTCAGCCCAACTCGTTCCGCGGGGCCGTCGGACCAAACAAAGCCAGGAAAAAGCTCGCCACACATGCGCGACCAGGTGAAGAGCTGCACCATGCCGAGTTGCCGTAATTCCCAAAAGGTCCAATGAAGCGTTGACTTGGGATGAGGTGCTCCACTTCCCGATCCGCATGCGAACTCCGGCTCCAATCCCGATCATGCGTCGGCAAAGCTCGATGTAAACCACCACGGGGGAATTGAACCAAGAGTGGAGTATCGATGTGTTGCCCGCACTCAACGGCACAACTGATTAGGCAAGGTTCCCCCAAAAAACATTGCAGCTCCACAAGTGGGGCTCCACGCCCTCAAATACGGAGTAGTTCCAACAAGCACCTAGAGATGGCCTCTCTCACGAATCAGATGGGCATCCTTTAAAAGGTTCATCAGCAAGTTTCACCCTGCATGGAATCGTGGCCTGGCTTTCTCCATGTCAAACTGGGTCTGTTTCTCCCTCCAACTCACAAATCCCTTGCACCAGAAATATCAAGAAATCATACTGTGTCTTGAGGGACCTATGAATGAACCATCTTAGTGTCCATGTGCCTTGACATGTTGTTGGGGTTTCCATGAACCTCTACAGTGACCAGTTCTTGGTGGTCTTCATCTATTGCAACTCCTCAGTCACGCGTGACTGCACAACTGCGCGCGGTGTCGACGCCACAACTGGGCCTCGATTGGACCCAAAGCCCAGCCCATGACCACCACCTAAGCTGTCAAGACGGAAGAAATGCAACATCAGAGTTAACAGAGAGCGTGCAAATGACGTCTATGTTGATGTTCGGTGTTGCAGATCCTGCGAGCTCAATGAGAGTTTCTCAGCAAAAAAGACGATGGGGGTCGTCCTTTTCAACTGGGTCAAGACCAGATTTCTGGGCTTCGTGTGGATGTTTGCATGTCAGAGCTGCGCATATCAGGGCTGGCTGTTGGTGGTCTTGGACATGGCTCGAATGTTTCCTTACAAGAAAGTCTTTGGTCTGTTGAACATGAGCGAAATATGACATATGAAATATGTATGTCCTATAGGGTTTGTGTGAGAGCAAGCCAAAATATCACACTCCCAGTACCGCATCAAAATGCTGCGTTCAAACTCGCAAATACAGGACAAGCAATGATGAGCAAACGGCCCTGTCAGAGTGAGCTGAGTTGATGATGAATCAATGCAAAAGCTC